GACTTTGAATTGTTTGTTGGGTATGTTCGTCATATAAACGTTAAACATACACTAGAGAAAATCAAATGATGTTATCAGTCCGCATCGTGCTCTCTTGCCGTGCGGATCTATTTGCTTTTTGTTGAAGGAAGTGCTACTACTACCTAAAACTACAACAAATTTAAACACTTTTCAGTGCTCAATATACCTGTAAATTTTTCTACATTGTTTGACTCTTATTCCTCTTCGATCCTTGTTTGGACTCAACCTGAGGTAATCCTTCTTGGATATCGATTTGGAAAATTCCTCTTCGATCCTTCAGATTCTTATAGTAATCTGCTTGGAAGTCGATTTGGATACAAAATTTACTGCTGCCATGGCGCAAAAGAAAAGGGAAATCTCTTGATCCCCCTCCTGATGAAATTAATTTGAGCAATCAATTTGATTTGCTCAAGGATGATGAGAATGATCCATCATCCAGGAAAAAATCTAGTAAACTTTCCCGGCTTAATGCCAAGAAGGAAAAGATTCCCCCTATTGTGATAACCACTTCCGATTTCCATGCTCTTCGCATGGAACTTTTGAACTTTAAGTTTTCACTACAAATTGGACGTCGGGGTGAATGCCGTGTATTGGCTGAAACCTTGGACGGATTTAAATGTCTTCTCAAGTATCTTAGGGCCTGTTCATAAACTACGTAGACAGTTTTTGGGGATTCTTGACCCCCCCCCTCCCCCTGCGTAGACAATTGTCCATACAAAAAAATTAAAAATTGTATGGGCCGTGGATAATTGTCAACCCCCCCCCCCCCCTAAACTGTCTACGTAGTTTATGGACAGCCCCTTATTGAGAAGCAGCACAATTTTTTTACTTACGACACCAAAACTGAACGTGTGTTCAAGGTTGTCATGAAAGGACTGCTCGGTGGTGAATCCTTGGATCAGATCAAAGATGAACTGGCAAAATTACTTGGAGTTGTGCCACTCCAAGTAATCAAAATGAAAATGAAATCCCGTTCTGGCGATTCGCGCAACGGGATTTATAATGATTTTTATTTAGTTCACTTCAAGTCTAGTGAACGAAACAACCTTAAGGCCTTGGAAAAAGCTAGCCTTATGCTTAATATTCGAGTGAAGTGGGAACACTTCAGGAAGACTGGAGGAAATTTCCAAAACCTCACCCAGTGCCGTAAGTGCTGGGGATGGTGTCACGGAACAAAAAATTGCTACATGTCAGCTAAATGCATGAATTGTGGAGATTCCTCTCACGCAAAGGACGACTGTCCTGTGAAGGAAGATCCTAAACAAATTAAATGTTCAAATTGTGGTGAAATTCACAAATACAAATCAAGCGATCCTACAATCTCGTTCAAAGCTACATGTAGGAAACGCTCCACGTTAACGACCAGGTATAAATTCCTCTGCTGTTAACAGCGGTTAGCGAGGAACAAATTCTACATTCGTACCCGTAGGTACAAATATCACCCCTGCTTCATATTCTTCATCTATACCTACTTCCCTCGCTGCTAACAATGTTCAGCGAGTTAATGGAGCTACCTATGCTCCTATTGAAATGGGTAGAAATCAAAATACTAACCAACGTATTTCTAACGGAAATTTTTAAAATTTTGACTTAGGAAGCATTACTGCTCCTAAAATGGATTTTTTTGAGAAATTATTAATTGAAATGATTTCTGATATGCCTAAATCTAACTCCATGTTTGATGCTATTCAAACTGGAGTAAAATTTGCGAACAATAATGTCATGACTTTAAAGTTCTGCAATCGATTTTAAATCATTAAATATTTTAAATTGGAATTCTCGATCTCTTAAAGATTATGAATACGAGCTATTTAACTTTTCGAGAGTTCAGAACGTGCATGTTGCAGTTATAACTGAAACGTTCCTTAAACCTGACCATATTTCATTTATAGAATTGATCGTCTTGATGGACCTTGTGGTGGCGTTGTAATTGTAAGATGGGGGGATGTAAGATTCGCTTACAATTATGTGGGATTCATCATCAGAGGATGTTAGTGGACACCGCATGAACCGAAGATGCGATATACCTAGCTGCGGTCTAATGCAAGAAAATTGGAGACCGAAAAATGTAGAGTGTATTAGTGAGGTAAATTAGTTATGTCGTAAAAATAGGAAACAGATTGCCGAATGGACTCGAACCACAAACTTTGCGATTATCAGACCTGTGATTTCTCCACTGCTCTCTCTATGCTTCTGAATATGGATAGCCTAAAAGCAAACATGAAGCGCTCGTTTTCTCGCATACTCGACATCGTATGCTTTTTCTGCTGGAGAGATTCGAGGCAAGCGTGTGCGTCGTTCTACAATGTTCTACAATGTGCGTCGTTCTACAAGCTTACTGGTATAGTCGAAAGTATAGGTAGAACACGAAATAAAAAAAGACAAAAAACCATTACATCGCCTGCATGGTCAATTTCTAACATTCGTTGTGATTTTCATGAACAGAGGATGATAGGAAACGGAACTAACATTCATTGTAATAGATTTTTGATTTGCGTGTACCAGCATGAAATTTCAGGAGCAACTGCAATTCGTGCTAGTTGGCGAGTACACTAGCGCGAGTAAATCCGCACAGATGTAAACACCAGCTAAACACCCCATAAGCAACAGGGGGAAAACATCAGCACAAACAATTCTAAATCAAATTATCGCGCCCAGGACACAAAAACTATTCCAATGCGAGCACCAAAAAACTACACGCCAGCACAAAGATAGTCCGAGCTCTAAAAAAATAAAAGCACGCAGCGGAGCAAAAACACACAACCGTTCCAACGCTTCTCGAAGCAGACTTCTACACAGCAAAAACAAATGTAATATCGATCAACGTAATTCAAGCTGATGTATGAAATAATGATGTAATAGCAAAAAGCAGATACAATATTACATCAATGGATGTAATTTTGTTCGCAAAATCGATGTACATCGTACAACTTAATATTACACAACCGGCGGAATGATCTCTGTGCAGCTGTTTGGATGTAATATTCAACAACTTGTTTTTTCTTTGTATAACCACGAGGAGCATTTTTTGTAGCAAAACTTACCATACGAAATGCTCATTGTTCATTTTCGTCAATAAACTAACACTTCTTCTTTGTGTGTCACCTTTGTATGAAGCGCCTAGTGCTCGCCCTCTAGTTGTGAGTGCTATCAGAAGCAGCATGAAACACCTAATTGTAAAAACGTAACTGATCAACCGTTACGAAATGTCATATTCGAAATTGCAGTCGCTAAAATGACGCAATTCCGTTGATCGTCGTTTTTTTTAGAAAGAGCTTTTTTAGCTGTGCACGGAAACCGCAAAATACGCAAAAATGACAATAAAGGACTCAATTTTGACTATAAAGTGTGCATATTCGACTAAAACTGGACTACACCTAAAATGTGTGTATTTTTTAAACCTTTTATGAGTATCTGTTACTCATAAATGCATAAATTTTATTAATTTTTATTCTAGAATTTCTCATAAATGTGTAAAATTTTAGTCATTTTATGGGTAGTCCCGTTTTCTTTCAAAAATGCTTACTTTATAGTCATAAAAGAGATTTTTGGGATTACCGTGTTCAGCTTCACCCATGCCAGGCACGAAGTTATTGCTGCGTTCGGGTGTAAAGTAAAAACCTTTAAACTCATACTTACCCCAGTTTGGTAATAATCGTAGCTGGTGATTTTTTTAGCTTGATATTGTCGTCGATACAGCTGAAAACTGGATAAACATACTAGCAAAAATCTATTTTACTCTCGTTCTATACGTTATACATAGTGTCGGAAGAAGTGCGCTCTAACTCTGATGACAATAGTAGCGGATGCTTGGAGGAGATCCATTAAATACGTCACACTCTTAGAGGAAGGGGGATTTACAAATGTGAGACAAATTAATGTATTAGCGGTGCCGGTGGTGTAGTGGTAAGCGTGACTGCCTTTCACTCCAAAGGGCCTGGTTTGAATCCCAGTTGGCGCCGTCGGGATTTTTCTGAGCCATACAATCTCTGATCACGATGCCGTTGATATTTATCCACGAAAATCATGCGTGATCATGGGAGAGATTGAGAATAGATTTTTTAATATTTTCTCAACACGGCTTATTTAACTAGACATAAAAAGTAACAAGGACTAAGTTGTGTTCCTTTCGTTACTGAAAAATCCTGTTATGTTAGTTTGAAGCAGTCAGAACTAGGGTTCAGTTCGGTGGTAGATTTTACAACGTAGTGCACCACGAAAAAGTTATATACCACCGTTACATGGAGTCCTATGGGGCCAATACTCTCTTCAATCTGGTTGTACAACCGCTATGGTTTTAAAATGAACGGTACACAAATAAATAAAAATACTTATTACTTATTATTAATATTAAATTCTATGCTTATGAGTAAAAATACGGTGTATGTCACAATATTTGCATAACACCGAACACAACATATCTTGAAGACTCTTCCATTTTCTCAAACGACCGGTATGATACAGGCACAATCGCGTCATCTGCCGCTCAAAGGTAAATACTCCGAATGAATTGGATAGCAAAGTATCCATCCCAAGAAGAGAGGTTTCTGTATTTGCTCATTTATCTATGCGTTGCTTCCACCTTCACTCGAGCACAGCCCAAGTAACATTGCAAGTTTTATGGAGGTTTTAAAGCATGCTATAAGTCTAAATCATGGTCTACAGAACCCTTATAAAACCGAAATTGTTACTTGGGAGTGCTACTGTGTTTGTCGCTCAGATTCAGGCAAAGTTGCCAGTCTTTTTGATATGTTGCCTTCGATTACACCTTGAAATGGCCAATTACGGGTGAAGTGGAGTGCGACGATGTGGAGCTAACTCTACTTGGAAATCATCGTCGCAATTTTAGTTGAAAAGAGACGAACCAGCTAAGGGCTGAAAGTCTCTATAATACAGCGAAAGAAAGAAAAGATGTTAGTTGAATACTTCCAAACGCAAGCGTTTATTATGATGATAGATTATTATAAACCATAATTCTAGCAGTTCCATCCGGCGATACAGGTTGGTGGCATATTGGATGGTGGACATTCGTTGGTATCACAGGGGTTTGGTCTGCATTCCATAGTCGGATCGCAGCATGCAAACCACGGCCAATCACACACTTGTTTAGCAACATTGAAATGCAGTCCTGGAGGGCACATCATTTCACACGCTCTTCCGGTTTCACACTTGTAGTACTTGGAGCAATTGTTGTGGCGGAGAAGTAATGGCTTCGGTGGGTTAAATAGTGGACATAGTGGGTTTGGATCACAGTTGTCACAGTTGTTTCCTCCTCCGCTGCAAGGTGGTGTTGGGGTAGGGCAGATTATTGGTGGGCATGGTCCTGGTGGTGGTGGTGGTGGTGGTGGTGGTGGTGGTGGTGGTGGCGGTGGTGGTGGCGGTGGTGGTTGTGATCCGTCACAACCACTTCCTGGACCGCATGGGTCAGGCATGCAGGGAACAGATGGATCACAGCAAGCATGTTGAGGCCAATCGCAGGCCATCTTGACGCTGTTGAAGTGTAGTCCAGCTGGGCAGTCGTATGTACAGGCACGACCGTCGTGACATTTCAAGAATTTCGCACAGATGGTATGTGGAAGCAGTACTGCCTTGATAGGATTGTACGGTGGGCACCGTGGGTCCAGAGGGCAATTAATCAGACATGTCGTTGTAGTGCAAGGGGCCTGCGCTCTGATAGTGACGCCGCAAAGGGCAATCACTAGAAATAATAATTTCATATTCAATTTCACTACAACGGACATATACCGCTGCTGCTATGAATCAAGAATAAACCAAACCGATACTAACTTCTCCTTTGTGCACAACTGGTTTTTATACAGATTTTGTGATTTCGCCAAAATAGATAGTTCACTCAAAACATTATCTTTGTCAAAATTTCACGAGAACTTGACACAATGTCAACACAAAAAGATATGAACACGGAACTAGAATTCAATCGGGAGAAAGCAACCTCGGTAACACATCAGTCATAATTGTGCTCGAAAGCAGCTACTTGTATAAGCGGTTCGGTTGCTACGCGGTGCTGGATATCAGTAAAATCAACACGGTAATAAAAAACATTATAAAGTATCGACATAATTACCAGCAAAATCGACCAGAATACCAGAAGCCACTAGTTTCCTATGCCAAACTGATGCTCTGGTCAAAATTTGAGTGAAATCGGTTAATGTTTACCCATTTCTCTAGCGGGTTGAAGTTTGTATGGGAAAAATCAGCTAAATCCATGGAGAAACACCATGTCTTCACACTTCCGCCTCTAGGTGGCGTTGTGTACTTGCAATCACCATCAAGTCTGAAATTCTCATAGGAAATTTTATGCCTAACAACTTTGTCGAAGATTGCAAGACGATCCGAGTTGATCTGACAAAGTATTATTAGCATGCTTTGAAGTGATGTCTGACTGATGCTAGGAAAGAGCCTGACACAGTAATGTGAAATTCATCCATTCATGCATTTTGATTATCCAGTATGATCAGAAAAGGGTTGACGCATTAGGGGGGGTACTATATGTTGCACAAAGTGGCGTATTAAGATGCTGAAGAAGGGGGGGGGGTAGGGGACCAGGTGCTAATTTAAAGTAGTACTCGTAGATGACAGTTTAAGCTGAATATTGCATTAGGTTCTAAGTAACATTGATCGATTCTCTTCGTCGACATTCTCTTCCTTTAATAACTTGAGCACACCATCGTTTCTTGTTGTGTTTGTCGTACTAGATACTAGATAAAAGCATAATTTATCGATCTGTGAGCTGAAAATTGCTGAGAATGTCTTGATATGGCCGTGGGGATACAAAGAGAAAGCCGACGAAGATAATCTGTGAATGTTACTTAGGACCTAATGTTGAGGTTGTTGAAGGAAAAGGAGATGTAGCATGGAGGTTAAATCGGTATAATAGTTGTTCAAAATTATTATAGTTTACGGTTATTCTTATTGCAATATATTTTATTATCGACTTATAAACATGCATGCAATACATTAAAAGGAGATTGCCGAATTGTCAAAACCCAACTCAATTGATCGATTTACACATTCCACAACATTTATTACAAATTTCTTAAACAATTATACAAAATAAGATACTTTGAAAGCAAAGTATATTGTCAAATAAATAAAATTAATCCTTTGAAAATAAAACAGCAAAAAAGGTTATCTTCCATTTAATTCCACTTAATAAATTTTGGTATCCATGACAGATACGTATTTCGACTACAATGTGCAGCAGACCCAAGCTCCTCCCCTGATCCTATCCTTCAACAATGTACCCCTCTAACCTCGAGTAAGCCGCGAGTAATCGGCCCAACTCCTACTAGACATAGAATTAAGTGAATTTTGTTACAAACAGTGAACAATGAATTATTGGCTCCGTAAAGCTAACGCGATTGAGCCTTCCAAATAAACGAAATGGATAAAAAAAATACAATGTGCAGTCTTCATCAGTGTCATTCCCACTGAAGAACTTATCAAAAGTCAAGATCACAGGTATAAAAATGAAACTACAATGTGTTGAATCGGAACCTACCTAACTAATAAAAACCAAAGATTTAAGTAAACTAAAGGAGAAAAATCTATACAACTCTCTAATAAGGAAAATCCCAAAGGTGGTAGCCATCATAGTGAAGTAATGAAGTTGGGTTGTTAGCGGAATGCTTAAATAAAACAACAAAAAAGGTTATCTTCCATTTAATTCCACTTAATAAATGTTGGTATCCATGACAGATACGTATAGATTTTTTTGCTGTTTTATTTAAGGATGCCACTAACAACCCAACTTCATTACTTCACCTTTGAAAATGTTCTGCGGTTTGGATTTGGGAACTGGAGACGAGGATTTGCAGCTACTTGCAGTAAATATTGAAGCTGGTCTTATTTTTTTTGTTATTTTGCCGCAAGATTTTTGCATAAGCACGTTCTGCACAATCATTTATTAAAAGTAATTTTTCTACCATATTTGTAGTCCACAAAATTCTCACATGTTTCTAGATCCTCTTTCAAGAAGTTTGTAGAAATCCCAGTAACTTCAAAAAATGGATACTGCGTAAAACAGTTTTGCAGTTCTATCGAACGAAAAGTTTCAATTGACTTTATTTTGTCGAATTTTACTGCCTTTTCTGTTTTGCATAGATAGAATCATTGTTTTTTTTTTTTGTTTTTTTCAGGCACTGTATTGTCAAATAAAGACATCGCCACGTTTTGCTCCGTCAGGTACCACAAATGATTGGAAAACTTCAAAGCTGCTGAATAATAGATATTTTCTCCGTCACCTTCACACCGGTCGCCGATACGTACCAAAATGAAACTGTTACTCCACGTTTGCTGTACTGCAGTATACATGAAGTACCAATTTCAGGTGAAATGGGGCATTGAGATGTGTGTAATTGAAAATTAGAAGTGGAAGCCCAACAAACAATCGTCTATTGAAAAAACTTCTTGGCCATTTTATTCAACTGTATGCTTAATAGTACTTGTATTATTTCAAATAATAACTTCTGTTCAGGCTTTGTTCACACAAGTCTGGAGAATTTATTCGACCACAACATTGAACTACTTAGTGTTGTATAAGGTATGTCGAGAAGCTTTTATTCGACTTATACGAGTTGTAACAGAGGTTTATACGATAAAATTTTTGATCATGCAGCGTTTATTAGACATAACTGCTTCCGTAAAACAGTGATATGCTCTGTATACGCTTGATTCTTATGTGAAGTAACGTTTAATTATACATTATTATGTATTTATCAAACGATTATTTAACCGTGGGAAAAATTAACCCGACTGTATGCTTAATGCGACGGAGACAGGGAAGGGTGTGTTTTCTTATGTGATTGTACTCATAATTTTATTTCTGACGTGGCTCGCACCACACAGATATTAGAAAATTTATTAAATACTTATACATATAAATGTCGTTGCATGGGATTCGAACCATGTACCTTCCGATCACCAGTCGCTTGCCTTGTCATCTGATCTATCCTAGAATTAATCATATGGGCAACTCAATAACCAATAAAAGCTTGCTTGAAAGTAAATACCAATCACGCCCCGTAACGTGGGTAGATCACCTTTTCGTGGTACGTTACGGGATGTAAGATCTACCACCGATTCCTAGTCCTGACTTCTTCAAACTAGGGGAACAGGATTTTTCAGTAATCAAAGGAACACATCTTAGTCCTTGTTACTTTTTATGCCTTGTTGATAGTGATAAGTCCTCGGGTTGCCTGGACCGAGGATGATCTTGAAACAAGGAAAAAATGAGTTAGTTAGTCTTCACCTATGTGATTCCTAATCTTCTAATCGTTGTTCCCTAGTTTGAAGTGGTTAAGACTAGGGTTCTGATGCATGGTCATTATCGGTGTCAAAGTTTGTTTTTGTTGTTAAGGAATCCAATTTTGACTGACAAAGGGGCGCGCCTTTGGAGGGTGTTCCAACTCCGAAGGGTATAAATAGCGGAACCTTTCAGTTAGAATCGATTCCTTGCGATGAAGGCAAGAATGACAACTGTATCAAAACCGAATACTTCATCATTTCTCAATAGTGATGGAGTAATACGACATGCACTAAACTAAGGACACGGGATATACTACAATAGATCAAATTACTGGTGGCAGTGGTGTTAAGTCCCGAACAGATGAAAAAAAAATACCAATCAGCATTCCCGATCGTAACTCTAGCTCCTTCAAGGCCCTGTGGGAATGATTAATTCATTCATCGTTGTTTTAAATGAGATCAATGTTACCTCTTCACCTCTTAAAGTCGAAAGAAATGATGTTCGATTATATTCCAATGCATTCATTGTCGTGAGTCATGTGATCGGTGATTACTATTTAAATTAATCAGACGTAGAACACAAAAAAGGGTTGAGCTTGGGATTGAACTCACGACCTTCTACTTGGAAAGCGGAAACGGTAACTACTACTCTACTGATTTCGTCTTCTTGCTAGACTGAACCAGTGTTGTCGAATAATGAATCTAATATGTCTTTTATAAAACATTTACAAATGTGATTACAACATGGGCGCATAGTGGTATAATAGCTATTATGCTGACTGTATTCACCTTTATTCAGCAATATTGTAAAGCAATGCAATGAAATCTAATATTGGAGCTGGAGAACATTTATTAGACGTCTTATAAAGCATGATATCAAATCAATTGAAAACAGTCGAATTAAAGTGTCAATGTATGTACAAATTACACTTATTCAGTTTTGTTATTAGATTAAACTTCTGACGTGGAATTGAGAAGAAATTTAACACTTTTACAGCTTTTAATAAGTAAATTAATCAGATCAGAGCCAACAGTGGAATAAATGTGCATCTATCGATTTTAATGAGCTTTTTTCAGCACATAATTCGACATCCTGTTTTATTCAGCATTGTACACTGTTATACAGAATATATTCAATGTGTATGCTTATTTGTGACTTTGAATTGTTTGTTGGGAGTGCATGTATAGCCTACGTGGAGACCATTTGTGGACTCTAAAAGGAAGGAGCTGTGTACCAAAACATACAATAGATACGTAAAATGAAAAGACACATCGAGTAAATACCCTTTTTTCAGTGACACTTAAATATAATTGCTCGCGAAATAGCCAAATTTACCAACAATATACAGCTTTTGCCATCCATCGTGCTCGGCTATGTGCTCCTGAGAAATTGAATTGACTTTTATCTGCACATGCAATTATATGCTCGTAGATAAGGTTCTGAGCAATCCTTCAATCAGAAGAGTTTTT